TGACACAAACTCATACTGAAAAAAAATTCAATTACCTATTCGGTTTTCTAAACTTTAATAATTTAGACAAGGTCAAGAATGAAAATTATTGGGAAGTTAAATTGTCAACTCAAAAGACTTAAAAACACAACATAAGTAATGGAGCAGTAAACCTGGAGCATAGCAGACTCTCTTTCAAGTCCAACCTCACACTTACCTGCTTTTGTACTTACTAGTTATAGTAGTTATTCTTTTCTGATTCTCGTAATGAGACTAATTAGAACATGGGCGGAAGAAGAACCAAACTCAAATCTTGGTTAGAGACTCGTGTTGATCACGTGTTACGAAACTTAGCTCAAAGTAACAATATAGAACAATAAAATAGACAACAATGTAGAGAGGAAGAGAGGAGAGAATCTTATTTCTTCATATATTCAAGTGTGTACAATGTGATGCCAAAACCCTCTATTTATAGGATGATATAGGTAATACAAAGGGATGTCATAAACATGGTATTAACTATTGAGAACATGGGGGAAGATCATGGAGGTGTGGGAGTTACATCCATAATGGTAAGAAGTAGTGGGAGGTTAATGGAGAAGAGTAGTGGGTGTTACTCCCTTAGGAGTTATGGACATCCACCATAATCAAGTATTTCATAACAGAAAACTTATTATTAATGATATCCCTATTAAAGGGCACTAGAAACGTGTACCAATTTTCATGACATTAGGGTTGGTTTCTGCGTTGGTTAAAAATTTAGTTATTGCTTTAAGTGTCAATCTTGTCTTTTATTATTGGTTGTTGCTTTAACTTGTGAAGACTCTTGCTTTGAATTCTCTTTTATATTCTTTTTAGTTTGCCATATGAGAAGTTTGATATTTTCATTATGGTTCTTGAAGTCTTAATTATTGATTGTGATTCAAACTCCTTTATTGCTTATATTAGTGCTTTTGCTTCTATTTATCATCTCTTTTTTTGTTCTTAACTTGGTGTTGTCTAACTTTTGTGCTTTCTTTCTTCCAATTTAGGTTGTCGATTCTAGATCGTAGAAGCTTTTAGATCCTTTTATTTTTTCAGTTTTATAAAATATTATTGTAACCTCTAGCAATTTTTCTTAGTTTAATTTGTTGTTACTTTTGTTTTTAATCTTTTATATTTTGGAAGAGTTATTTCCAGTTTAAGTCTTTTTCTTTTCACCATCCAATTCAATTTTTTAGGATAAAAGATTATGTCGGTTAATACTTTGGGTTAAAAAGGGGTTTATGTTTTAAAAAAAATCTAAAATCTAATGTCACATCAATATGAAATTTGCTACTAATATTCAAGTTTTCTTTCTTAGCAATAACTCCTTTCAAAATATTTAAGGCTAAAATCTTTTATTTTTGTTTATTATTGTACTTTGATTTTGTGTTTATTTATAGTTCGTAGATTATTAATTGCCTTCTTATATATTGTAAGTTGTATCCTTCAAGATTATTTAGATCTTCAAGGTTCTTGTCGTGAAATTAAAATTATGAAATTACAAACCTGAAATTAGATTTTAAAGATTATTTAATATCTTTATTTTTGTTTATTATTGTACTTTAATTTTGTGTTTATTTATAGTTCGTAGATTATTAATTGTCTTCTTATATATTGTAAGTTGTATCCTTCAAGATTACTTAGATATTCAAGGTTCTTGTCGTGAAACTAAAATTATGAAATTACAAACCTGAAATTAGATTTTCAAGACTATTTAATATCTTTATTTTTGTTTATTATTGTACTTTAATTTTGTGTTTATTTATAGTTTGTAGATTATTAATTGTCTTCTTATATATTGTAAGTTGTATCCTTCAAGATTATTCAGATTTTCAAGGTTCTTGTCGTGAAACTAAAATTATGAAATTACAAACCTGGAACAAATGTTAAGTTGAATTATTGATGATTGAGGACTTCTGAGATAATTTCTTCAATTACTGAGTTAGTTATATACAACCAATAGTCATTACCATTTTAGGAACTTACACTTTTATTTTATAACTCAATACTATTTTTAAACAAAAATTATATTCAGTAAGACAAGATTCACGCGCATCGCGCGTACTCTAAAACTAGTTTTAAGAATTAATACGCTCTCTCAAGTTTTTCATTTGGGCCATGGGGATGTCAAATTTTCCGTAGAAATAACACCAGGTAGCCATTCTAAAGCGCTTTTCTTTAGCAATTAGCCAGTGCGTTTTGGATAAAATGTCCTGAATTGTCCCGAAGTTACGATTTTTAGTTTAAAATTTCAGAACAAAATAAGTAATGGCTAATCTCTAAATAGCACTCCTAAAAATGGCTATTTGTGCACTTGCCCCAAATTTTCCTCTCTTAACAATGCTTCGTGGGTATTTTATGTCTCAATAATTTTTATTCCTAATGTTTCAGAATAAAACTATAATTTCCAAAAGGATTTAGTAACATTTAATATGAAAAATAAAATACATAATCAGCTTGAAAAATATGAAACATATAACTTTGACTAAAAAATTTAAGAGCTAAAGGGGCGGAGTTCCCAAAACTAACAAACTGCAAAAGAATACAAACTATGGATTGAAACGCACTTAATTTCAGTGAAAATTGTTGGCAAGTGTCAATATGATCTTATGGACGTGTCTTCAATTTCTCCATTATTGCCTTCTTTTTTTACTTTACTCTTCTGATATCTTTTGCTGCTTGTGAAAATAATTGATGAAAATTTTTGATATCTAAAAACCTCCAATTCAGAGAAGATTTTTTGTTGAAAATATTTCTACAAAGGAAGCTATTGGATCTCAACTTTCATCTTAAAGTATGTTGATTCCCTCCCTTCTTTTCTATTTTTTTCCCCTTCATGATGACTTTGTTCTAATTTAAAAGTTTTTAAAGGTTATTGAATTTAAAATGAAGTTTGAAATGTCAAGCTCTTTGCTTCAGTTATGTTATTTTTCTTGTTGTTATTGTTGTTGTTGTTGTTGTTGTTACTGTTTTTAGGCTTTCCACTATCGTTTTTTATTTTAATGATTGATGGACTTATGTTTTACTTGAGCTTAGAGTCTATCAAAAACAGTCTTTTTATCTTTACAAAAGTAGGGTAAGATCTGTATACACGCTATCCTCTACGGACCTGACTTCTTAGATTTTATTGTTGTTCCTCTGCAACTTCTCTTGTATTTAAATTAAATCAAATAATCAAGATAATGAAAATTATCAGACTTTTTAAGGGGAAGTTTAGCAAATACCCATGCAAGCCAAAATATTTCCCGGCCCATGCCTATCACTTTTTTCTTTATATGAATGAAATCAAACTACGCTAAGTCAAATAGGTAAAAAAAGTGGGATGGGTGGATGAGTAGGTTGGGTAATTAATTTTAATTGGATAGACATATATATTATAACTAGTTTTCAAATGAGCAAAAAAGAGTAATTATTTTAAGCTCAATGAGTATTCTGCATAAATAACTCCATTTTAAGTGGGAATTGAACTCACTCTTATATCAAGAAAAGACTACCAGACGACTTAACTATCGTGATTTTACTATTTTATTTTCATTTAATTAAAAAAAAAGCCGAAAAGGCTCAATTTGTTAACTAATTTAATTTTTTTGCTTATACAAACATATAAGCTAGACCCCTACCCCTAACTTATTTCGGAATGATTTAGAGAGCTGCGAATCAGGCTTTCAGAGTGGTGGCAAGCAGGGCAAAAGAAAATGACGTTGTATAGTTACTCTCAAAATAATAATATTTCGATTGCGAGTTAAAAGTGATTTTTACCCCATATAAATCACTTAAAAGAAGAAAATGAAAGATAAAATTAAAACCAAAAAATAGAGAAAAGGAAAAAAGAGGAAAAAAGAAAAAAGAAAAAAAAAAAAAAAGGAAAAGACATAAAGGCGAACTTACCCCTATGCGTGCATAGCCATTTTCCTCTTCCCTTTCATGTTTCTAGTGGAATAGTTTATCCAAAATTCAGCAAAATGTCTTTTTAGAATTAAAAACTCATTAATTAAAAATTCTCGGTCCACCTCTTACAATATATACCACCATCAAAAAATTTCAAAAATTTATATTTGGGATTTTGTGACTAAAAATTCACATTTGATTTTCGTGTATATATAAACACACTTAAATAACCTTTTGTCAAAAAGTACAGTGATGCAATTCAGGTATTACATATTTATTGAATTGAATCCTACATAAAACTCTGTGTTTTTTTTTTTTTTTTGTTTTTTTTTTTGACGTTCAAGATTTTTTTTCCTTTTTCCTATATTTCAGTGCGTCTCAGATAACAAATTGAATTAAATTCATGAGATATATTAAGTTTTTCTTTTTACCTTTTGGTCTATATTGATAGGAAACTTAGAGCCCGTTTGGACATAAGAAAAATTTAACTTATTTTGAAAATTTTTTACTTTTCTCCAAAATCAGTGTTTTGCCATAAATTTTCAAATTTTCACTTGAAGATGGATTTTGGAATTTTTCGAAATTTTGAAAAACTCCAAAAAACTTTTTTTCAAAATTTTCATTCAGATCACTCACAAAACTTAAAAAAAAAATCAAAATTATATTCATGTCCAAACACAACTCTACTTTTCAAATATTATTTTCACTTGAAATTTTTTTTCATTTTTTTCCGAAATTTTACAATTCTTATGTCCAAACGCCCACTTAAGCACCCGCTCATCCATAGATTTTTTTTCCCCTTTTTTTTGAAAATTCTTTTCAAAAATGTGTTTGTCCATAAAATTTTGCAACGTTTTGAAAATTTTCAAAAATCAAAAAATAATTTTGACCACTTTTTCAAATTGTCGGAAAAACTTTTTTCTCCACTCATAAACTGCAATAAATTTTCAAGTGAAATGCATGTCTAAACATAATTTCAAATTCTAAATATCATTTTTCAACTTAACTCCAAATATTTTTTTTTTTTAATTATAGTTTTTATGTCCAAACGTCTACTAAGACTAACCCTTTTATCATTTGCAGAGATTTGACGAAGTTGTTGGTAAGGAATGGAAGTCTCTGAGAATGAAAGTGTTGACTATTGTAAAGTCAATTTAGAAGCAGAATCTTCAAAATACCATTCAATTGCTTCATCAAGCAGGCAAAATAATTCTGCATTTTCACTAACCTTAGATGAATTTCAAAGCAAGAAGGGAAGAAATTATGGGTCTATGAATTTAGATGACCTACTAAATAATTTTTGGGACAATGAAGGAAATCAAGTTACTCCCAATTCAAATCAAGATATTCCTACAAAAGAAGGTAACATATATTTGTACCTTTTTACTTTATCCTTTTTTCATAACCATGGTGTTCAAACATGTTTGTGTGCACCTTAATAATTTCACAAAGTATCTGTCACCTTCTACCAACACAGGTACTAGGTAATTTATCTATCAAGAATTGGACAGATGAAAAGAATTTACCTAATATTCTTTGTTGATATTTAAACGTGAGACCTAGTGGCGAAGCCAGAAAATCAGTAAAAGTGTTTAATTTTTGAATACCCTTTATGAGTGGGCTATGCAAGAGTATTCAAAGTCTATTTTTTGTTATTGATACTAAATAATATTTTACTGTATAATTTTTAAGCGAAGGGTGTTCAGTTGACCACCCTTGACCACACATAGCTTCGCCTCTAGTAAGACCTAATGATTTGAGATCCATTTTATTGACCACTAGGCCATACCTTTTCACTTTATTCTTTTTAACTTTTCATCCCTATTTTAATCCCCACTTTACACAAGCATTTATATGTTCGTAATAATGACATCTTTACTAATTAGAAAGTCAGATACACCCATAAGGGTTGTAGTGGAGTGACAAGTACTCATTCATCCTTAATTAAAGGTTTCGAGTTCAAGCCCTTAGTATGGAGTTGCCTTTGTTAGGCAGTGCTTTGCCTCCCAATGTGGGACTTCCCGACATGAATCCGAATTTAGTCGGGAGCCCTACGTGAGTACCAAACATCGGGGGAACCAAAAAATAGAAGTATTTATACGTGGGATTTTTCGGCGCAAACCAGATTCAGTCAGCCCAACATGGATACTGAACACCGGATGGGAAACAAAAAAAAAAAAGTCAAACGCAATTGTTCTAGTGAATTTTTTATAAAGTACTTTAATTTAATTTTGCAGCATGAATCTAGATTAGTCGAGACCCCAATATGGGTATCGAAAACCGGATGAAAAAATTCAAAAACCGAGAAAAAAAATTCAAAATTTCAAAGTAATAAATAATAATGCATCTTTTCATGGAAACATTTGACCTGCAGGACAAAATTCAAGGTATGATTTCCTTAGCCACTCAAAGTGTGCTGAAAATGGCAAAGGAGATGCTGATTCTTCTTCAACACATCATCAAATCTTTGAACAAGTTAATGGCTGTTTCATTAATGGCCACCAGATTTCTGATCAAATCACTACAACAAATAAAGAAAATAATGATAAATCCAACAGTGCATCAGATGTTAGTGAACCAATTGGCAATAGCAGAAGAAGATCATCAAGTGTTTCATTAGAAGCAACAGTAATGGAAAAGAGACAACGTCGAATGATTAAGAACAGAGAATCTGCTGCACGATCTAGAGCTAGAAAGCAGGTAACAAATTTTTCATCTTAATCTTGTCTCAATTTATTTTTTTGTTTTCCTAATTTAACAATATGAAAGTTTTGACTTTTGATTGGTTGATGAAGTAAAGTTTGGTATGATGCAGGCATATACAGCAGAATTGGAAATAGAACTCAATCGATTGAGAGAAGAGAATGAAAAACTCAAGTTACTTGTGGTAAGGTGAAAGATGAAAATATTATTAAGTTATATCATCATTAGTGTAAGTAATTTTAAATGCTATCAGGTCACTAAAGAATATTTTTACAGGTAAACCTCCTTAAAATGTACTTTATAACTTATAATCTTGAAAATAAGATAATTACTTGTTAAAACAGGTAAAGGTGACCCGATGATATAAAAATCCTTACACCGGTAGCGAAGTCAGGAATTTCTCCAAGGTGTTCAAACTTGAAAGAAGTAAAAAAAAAAATTCTCAACAAAGGATGTTCAATATATATTATGTACCTTTAAATTCTAATATTTTACCTAGATATACAGTATAATTTTACGATGAGGGGTGATCAAAGGATGTTTAATATATATTATATATCTCTAAAACCTAATATTTTACTTATATATACAGTGTCATTTTATGACAAATGATAGTCAATTGGCCACACCCTTACAAGAGTGTAGCTTCTCCGCTGCCTTACACTGACGATATATATATATATCTTAAACTGTTACCCAAAAAAGAAAAAGATAAAAATCACATGGATATAAATTGGTTATGGGTGGAATTATTAAATACACATATAACATCTTTAATTATTATCACTTACTCTTTTTGTTTTTCTTTGCCAAGGCTCAAGTTGCAACCAGAAGAAAAGATGAGGTATGCCTAACTCCTTATAAATATATTTGTAAAGAAATATGTTTTAAGATTAGTTGTAATTTAAATCCAGTTATTTATTTATTTATTTATTTATTTATTTACAGCTATCTTGTAATATGTTCATATGTCTGTATGATGTATTAGGAGGAGAAAATGAAACAACCAACAAAAGCTCAATGGGTTGCTAACAAACTGAGAAGACTTAGAAGGATGTCAAGTGTCTCATGGTGAACAATAATTGCTTGCAAGGATTGTAAAATGGATTAATTGTTATGTTATTAACAATGTTTTTTTGATACAATTATTAGTCTCTTTTTTTTGTGCATGTAAGTTATTGCTTGCATTTGAATTTACAAAATAAAGAAATAATTTATTTAGGTAGTTTTATGGGAGTTGAAAAACAAATGGCTTGCTTTCATTGGCTCGGTCTAGATCCCAAATGTGGGTAAGTTTTAACCATTTTCGGGGGACTACCGAATTATTAAGGCTACCTGATTTCTTACGGTGCACAAAGTATTTCTATGTGATGACCAAAAAAGGTCATCACTCGTTTTGAAAGTAAATTTTGTGTTCGAGGTCTAAAACCTGCTTTTTGTCCCACCTCGATTTGTGCGCAGTCCGGACGTATATCCGGAAAGCCATTATGTGAAAATCTGTGAAAAATAATAAATTTTGCTTTTAAAATGAATTTAAGTTGACTTCGGTCAACATTTTGGGTAAACGGACCCGGATCCGTGATTTGACGGTTCCGGAGGGTCTGTAGTAAAATATGTGACTTGGACGTATGCCCGGAATCGAATTCCGAGGTCCTAAGCTCGAGAAATAAATTTTTAAAGAAAATTATTTTCTGAAAAATATGTGAGTTTTTGGAAATGAAATGTGTTTGGAATTTGATGGTATCGGGCCCGTATTTTGGTTCCGGAGCCCGGTACAGGTCTTATATGTGATTTAAGTCGAGCCTGTAAAATTTGGTAAGAAACGGAGGTCATATGACGTGATTCGGAACCTTAGTTGTAAAATTTGAAACTCTGAAAGTTCTTGAGATATTCTTTGATTTTGATGCTAAATTCATAGTTGTTGATGTTATTTTGGTGATTTGATTGCACGAGCAAGTCCGTATGATATTTTTCGGTTAGTGTGCATGTTTGGTGTGGAGCCCCGAGGGCTCGGGTGAGTTTTGGATAGGCCACATAGTGAAATTTGGACTTAGGAATTTCTAGTATGTTGCAGGTCTACAGGCTTCACAAATGCGAAGCCTGGCTTGCAAATGCGAGCCCGCAAATGCGAAGTTTTATCGCAAATGCGAAGACAACCTGGGCTGCCTTGGGTCGCAAATGCTAATGTTCCTTCGCAAATGCCAAAATGCCCAGAAATCCCCTGTAACACCCCGTAAATTCGGCTTAGGTGTGAATGTGGTAAATGAGTGGTAAGGTTATATTTTGAACATGTGAAGTCCCAACGGGATGATTGTGGAAAAAATAGTTGGTTCAAAAATTAAAATGGAAAGAGAGGTGCATAAGATTTGACAAAAATCAACTAAGTTGCAGAAGGTCTGTCTTCCATCAAGTTTTAGTGAAACTGTATAAGGAATTGGGGAAAACGCAAAGCATAAAAGTTGTAGGCCTTTGAAATAGCTTTCCAACGATATATTATGGAGCCCAAACGGATCTCTGTGCAACAAGTTATGTGCGTTTTTCAGAACAGTACGTGCATGCACGAACACTCGCGCGAACAAGCCTCCAGGTGCGCGAACTCGCGCGTGGGAGGCAGTGTTACTGCCGTTGAGCGCGAACTCTAGCGCGAACAAGCCTCCAGGTGCGCGAACTCGCGCGTGGGGGGTCGTTTTAAAACTATATTTCGTCCCCCACAGCCCCAAAACATAAAAACTTGCTCTAGAAAGGGGAACTCTCAAAAACCTAACTCCTTAAGGGTCCTTCCACCACCCAAGGTAAGTTCTAATGGTGATTCTAAGTTAATTTCACTTTTCCAACATCTTATTAACATGGGTAAACCCTCCATATCATTAGATATTCGATTGGGACATCATTGTTGAGAGAAGGAAGCCTAGAACTCGAAAATCAAGGGTTTGAACTTCGAAAAGGTAATGTCTTCACCCTCTAATTGATTCTAGCATTGGTTTAATGATTATAAATCCTAGTTCATGAGACATGAGTTGTTGGGGTTGATAGAAAAGCATGAACGATTATAGGGTTGGGGTGTTGAGTGTTGATTATTGGTTAAGAGTGTTGTTTGCCTTATGGGTGATGAAGAATAATGTTGGTGTAATCATTTGAGACCTTAGAATTTATCTAGGAACAAGAGAATGGATTGTTGGGTGTAGAGGCACCATTAATAAGGACTATGAAGCTTTATTTTTACCAAGTGTTTGACAAAATGCTTAAGTGACCAAAACATGAGCATTATAGCTAATGTAGAATCCCTTTGACTTGTATTGCTATAGATTGAAGTTGAAAGGATTGACAAACGTTGTATTACGCTCAAGAGCAGGAAGTTAAGGTATGTAAGGCTAACTCTTTACGTTTGGGAATGTCTATGATTCTCCCTACGTCCCATTCATTATGATCATTACCAGTCTCCTCAGAAAGGAACTATGCCTTAGTTCTCTGATCAGTAGTAGGACTTCTATTCTCTAGATGGCATAGTCTCATAATCATTCGATATTCTATGAGTTTCAGCTATGACAAATCAATTTGTTATGAATACTTATCTCAGTCTAATCCTATTCACTATTCCAGTATCATGTAACCCAGTATGGCTCATTATTTCAGTATCATGTATTTTAATATGATTCTCAGTTCCTGATTTTATATTCTTGAATGTTGAACACCTATATTTGGGCCCGAGGCCGCAGTTTATGCTTTATACATCTTTGGGCTTGAGGTCGTAGTTATGTATACGTATACTTGGGCCCGAGGCTGCAGTTGTGCACACACACACACACATACACACACACACACACATATATATATATATATATATTGGGCCTGAGGCCGCAGTTTAATATTCAGTTAAACAGGTTGTTCATCATTCAGAAGAGGGAGTATTCACATCCTTACTTCCTTGTTCAGTTATCAGTTTATCTGCTAGCAGTTCAGTTTCAGTTTCAGTATTTACAGTTCTTTTGTTCAGCTATTTTACATACCAGTACAATTCAAATGTACTGACGCCCCTTTTGCCCGGGGCCTGTATCTCGCGATGCAGGTAACGATTTACAGGTCGACGATTCAGCTTGCTAGGACATCTCGTATCAGCTATTGGTGAGCCCCAGTCTTTTGGGGGCCTTATCTCTCTTTTGTTTTAGTTATTATATTATTTCAGTTAATAAGGTATACCGGGGACCTTGTCCCGGTAAACAGTTGGCATTTTCAGTATTTTTTAGAGGCTTCGTAGACTATAACCCAGTCAGTTAGATATTAGCAGGCTTTCATGTGTTAGCCTTGTCGGCTACTTGTTTATACTTGCAGACCTTTCAGTATTCTTCCGCATCTATGATATTTCAGTCAGACTTTTTAGCAGACTATCATGATTTACATTTACCTCTAGCTCATAGTTATACCACATGTTGATCCAGCCATATAGTTGGTTCGCTCGGTCGCATGCAGTCAGGCACCGAGTGCCATGTTACGCCCAGGCCATAGTTCGGGGCGTGACAAAGCTTGGTATCAGAGCCCTAGGTTCAAGAGTCCTAGGGAGTCTATGAAGTCGTGTCCGGTGCGGTCTCTTTTATGTGTGTGTGTGCGCCACACATGTAAATAGTTGACCACCAAGACATCTAGGATTGTTCCATTTCTTTCATACTCTAGATCGTGCAGTTAGAGCTATGCTTTCAGGAATCTTTCTAACCCGTGCGAATTGCGTATTTCAGAAAAATGCCTGAAAAAAGAAAGTACACCAGGAGGGCCTCAGCTACTAGCCAGGGGGCCACAGCTAATGCTGCTCAGGAGGAGGACACTCCGGCCCAGGGGGTTGCACCAGGTTCAGTGCCCGGTGCTTCAGACATAGATGTCAGGGGAGCTATCCAGTTGCTCACCCAGATTGTTATTACCCAGGCTCAAAGGCAGGGGACCAGTGGTGTTCATGAGACGGGTAGTTCCAGGTCTAGGGAATTCCTCAACATGAAACCTCCCGTCTTCACAGGCTCCAAAAAGGATGA